TCTTTTGTCTTTTATTCGTACATGTTTGAATAGAGGCAAAGAAAACTTTCAGACCTTCTCCTTTTCTTATACTAGCACATGCCCCACATGAACCCTTCAGCTCCATGTAATCTGAGAGAGAGGGAGAGGGATAGATGAATAGTTGGACAGAACATGCCCGCTTTTGTTTCGGAGAAGGAGAAAAGGGACAATTCCCCAATCCTCACGCTAAAGGCTACGATGACCAATGTATCATTCTAATACGGAGCTTATGAACGTGGATGGCTTTAAAATCGGGCTTAGGCAACTTCATGGATGATAAAACTACCAAGGACAGCCAGTGTGGTACAGTGGACGGAGTCTCAGAGGAGGCCTCAAGAGATCGGAGTTCAAATCCCTGCTCAGCCACGGCTCACTGATGGGTAGCAACGCTAAACCAATTCTTTAACATCTCACAAACTTCTAAAACCCTACTGGGCTGGGCATAAATTGGCAGCGATGTGATGGCATGCAACAGCAAGGTTATCCAGAGCTACATGGCATACTTTGCTGTATGAACCAGAGTCAGTATGCCTCTCAGCACCAGGGGCTGGGTAACGTGAGGAGGAGGATTTACGTCTGTCTGTCTGTCTGTAAAATATTTTTTTGCCCTGCCTTTCTCCTCGTCTGTCTGTAAAATATTTTTTACCCTGCCTTTCTCCTTGAAAAGGACTCAAGGTGGCTTACGACAAGGAAAGACGGTATTTAAAATTGGACACAATGAGCATACACTGGGGGTTAACATCATTAAAAGACAATATTTAAAAGAACAAGCAATGAATAAGGAGGGATCTTACAACATTAACAGGCAATATTAAGGCAAAGATCAATACATATACAAAAAGTGTCACTCTCAGAAATGGAATACAAAAAAATGGAAAACATCAAAAAGTGTCACTCTGAGAAATGGAATACAAAAAAATGGAAAACATGAGTAGTACTAAAAATCTAGTCGAAGCAATAATGTATAAAAATCTCTCTAAAAATCACACACAGGTAGCCCTATAACAATCTCTCTAAAAATCACACACAGGTAGCTGGTTTACTGAGCGAAGGCTTGCTGGAGGAGAAAGGTCTTTGCCTTCTCATGGAAGAACAGCAAAGGTGGGACCAGCCTGGCCTCCAGTGGGAGGGAGTTCCACAGTTTGGGAGCAGCAACAGGGAAGGCTCTCTCCGTTGTCCTCACCAAGCGCCCCTGTGAAGGTGGTTGGGATCGAGAGAAAGGCCTCTCCTTTTTATCTGAACACCCGAGCCATATCCTGCTTACAGGCTTCCTAAGAGCATCTCTCTGGTGCCGATGTAAGCAGAATGCTAAGTTACATAGGCCTGATCCTATGGGGCTTTTATATTCTTATGCTTTTGTTGTTATGTGACATCAAGTTGCTTTTGCCTTATGGCAGTTAATGAGCTCCCTATAATTAACAATGCCACTGAGGTCTTGAGAACAAAAGGACGTGGCTTCCTTTACTGAGACACTCCGTTATGGCATAGTTTGGGGAAAAATCAGGAAAAGGCCATATGGTTATTGAAACAGTACAAATGCAAGAACAGGGGATACCTTTATTCAGCCATTAATATATATATATATATTTAATGGCGAAATAAAGGTATCCCCTGTTCTCTCTCTCTCTCTCTCTCTCTCTCTCTCTCTCTCTCTCTCTCTCTCTATCTATCTATCTATCTATCTATCTATCTATCTATCTATCTATCTATCTATCTATATACAGTATATATATTTAAAGCTAACTTTCAATTATTTATCTTAATGGTAGAATAAAGGTATCCCCTGTATCTTTATGTCCCTTTATGACATGTTGTCAATAATTCTACCCCATCCTCTATTTTTTTTGCCCCTCCCCCCCCGCCCCGTATTGTCTTTCCTGGGATTTCACATCTGACGAGTGACGGTCCACAAGGCCAGTCCAGAAGTCACGCTACCACAGATATAATTGTTTTAAAGGACGTATGAGACATTTCGTTGTTTTTCCTGTGGCGGAGTCCCTCGGCAATCCCTGCCAGGGGGGGAGGTCTGTTTGCGTTTGCTAAATATTTACAAAACATCAAGTCGCCCTGCAGCCTGCTTGCTCCCCAGCGCTCCAAAGCAAATGTCCGCAGATGCTCGGCTCGTGAAATGGCAGGCGGGCGCCCTGCGTGTGGGCAGCGGGTGCTTGCGCTTGGGCTTCCCCATATGTGCACTAGAAACAAGAAGCCTCCTTTCGCCCACTCAATAAGACCTCCCCAAATGCCAGCCCTGGGAGAGTGATTCACTGGGGAAATGCACCAGAAAAGAAGAGGGGAAGCTGTGGGGAGGAGGGAGCCTGGGGAATTCCTTTTCCAAAAGGCTTCCTAGCAACAGTCCTGGTATGATTGGGGGGAAGCTTAACGAGGCCCCCAAGAACTGCCATAGCGCAGTGAGAGACGGGGACCCCCCAGACCTTTTTGACTCAGAGATTTGGATCCCAGCCCTTGGACCAGAAATTCGGAGGGAAGAGATGCTGCCCACCTGGCAGATCTCAGTTTAGGGATTATTTCTCATGGTGTAAGAAGGATCTGCCGTTTAGGTATTCCCAGAAGCCCTCTGTTCTTTGGTTTTTATCTGGATGCTCTCAAGCGGCTACTGGCGGTGCTGCTACCGAAGTTTCTGCGCCGTCCTTTATTTTCATCACAGAGTCACTGCATTGTCTGTCTGACTGTCTGTCTCTATCACACACATGCACCCACCCACACCCATTTCTGCAGTGGTTTTCGGAAGGATTTTTTGCCCTGTGACATCCCAAAGGCTCACGCCAGGGACACACGTTTTGGCTCTAATGTCTTAGGAAAAAAAGATGCCACTGACGTGGCATCCATAGTCAGAGGCTGGATGTGCGTGGAGTGCATCAGGATGAATCCCCCTACTCGGGTTTTAAAAGGGTCAGGTTGCAGCTGAGGGTCAGAGTGCCTGGTGGGGGGGTGCCCATCCACCCTATTTAAATCCCAGCAACCAAGCTCTGCTTTGCAGCCTGGAATGGGGCATCCTCAATCTTTCTCAAACTAGCATTCAAACCACCACCACCCCCCAGGCTGATAGACCCACCCACCTACTCAACACCCCTGTATCATAAATAATACTGACCTAAGTGAGTAAATAGATTAACTTGGCATAAAGCGGCTTGCCACATTTCTTGGGACTGCAAAGCACCATCAGCAACTTTGCATAGATTTCAATCGCATCGGCACTGATTTTTCCCCCCTACCCATATTGATTCATCTATGGGATGCTGCCTTGTGCAGTAGGCGGGTGGGGGAGGCATTTTGGCTGTTTTGAAGCTTCTTTGGACGCCCCCCTCCTCCCTCGCCAGCATTCACACACCTCCCTTCTCCTGCAACGTTGGCACTCCTGGCCAGCTTCCCAGGGCATGAGGGACTCATTCTGTAGTGGGTGTGACAAGCAATCTTATGCAATGCTCCTGTTGCCAAGGTAACTTCTCAGTAACAGGTGCTAAACCTTCAGCAAACCACTAAGGCATGAATGAAGTCTGGAATTACATTTCTTTCCAGCAGTAACTGGGAACCAGGGGACCGTTTGGGGGGGGGGGAAGGAGGCCTCCGTCTGCAAGCTGTTTTGAAGCATAAGTGTGGCATAACTGACAGGTTGCTTGCTCTGGGCCCTTTCTGCAAGGCAGAGAAACGTAAATATGTGTTCTCGAGGCAGGTATGGAAACAGCAGTGGTCGGATGCAACACACGATGAGCAGTAATAACAGCTGTAGCTTTTTTTTTTAAGAGGCAGCCATGTTAGATGGCGTCAGAAATAAAATGGATCCAGGAGGTACGCCGGTACTTGAGAGACCAATGTCGATGGCAGTTCAGAAGCAAGATAAAAAGACAAAAATGCGGTGGCACCTTAAAGGCTAACTGCTATATTTTAATGGGAATGTTCACGGATCACATCCGCTTCCCGAGACGTGAGAGTGATACTATATGGCAAATGTTTATAGAATCATAAAATAATAGCGTTGGAAGGGACCTATAAGGCCATCGGGTCCAACCCCCTGCTCAATGCAGGGGGTACAAATCAAAGCAGATCTGGCAGAGGGTTGTCTAAATTTCTCTTGAATGCCTCCAGAGTTGGATTGCTCACCACCACCTCCCGAGGTCATTGTTTCCATTGTCGTACCGCTCTAACAGTTAAGAAGTTTTTCCTGATATTCAGCCGAAATCTGGCTTCCTGTCGCTTGAGCCCATCATGACATGTCCTGCACTCTGGGATGATTGAGAATAGATCCCGGCCCTCCTCTGTATAACTACCTTTTGAGTATTTGAAAAGTGCTATGCATGGCCAAAAATAAAGAGCCCATTCATTTCCTGGGCACAGGTTGTTGACTGTGCAGTATTTCACACGTGGTAATGATTTTTAAGAGCCCCATTTGTTACCCAGTTCCTTTCTTAGGAAGCTTTGTTTTGTAGACAAATGGTTAGTGGCTTTAAAAACCCAAAGGAAGCCATCTGGTTATTTCACAATACAAATGTAGAAGAATGTAACACCTTTATTAGAATTAGACCACACAAAAAATAATAATTAAACAATTAATGCATGGTTTTGTGGATTAAAAATCTCTCCTTTAGGCATGCACTAGCATGAACAGGGGAGAAAAAATTATAAATGAATGTCCCAAACATTCATGGCAAACAATTTGCCACAAATCATCTTACTACATCTGGAATGCATTGGATTTGGGAAGGAGGCAGTAGCTGATGATGGGCAGATTATGAGGATGGGATACAACCTGGTGATGTGAAGAGAAGGTTGGAAATGAAGGGGCGCTGGGAGGAGCAAGGGGAAGCCTTGTGACAGATCCTAGGGAACAGTAAGTGCATCAGGGTCGCAAGAGTTGTGGTGCTAAGGAGTTTTTGTGAATGAATGGAAACAAACTCCTGAACAGCCGGCAATGTAATAACATCATCATCTCTCTCTCTCTCTCTCTCTTCCCACCCCCCTTCCCTTTTCCTCTCCATCTTTCCGTTTTCTTTGTAGCTAACAGCTCCCTGCTGGGCGGAGGCGGTGGTAAGTCTCCTAATTGATACCTTTTTTCTTCACGGCTTTCAAATTAGTACCTCTACTGGTTTGGAAAGGATGGTGGGTGGGGGTGGTGCCCCCCCCAAGAACAGAGGAGGGGGGAAGTGGGACTCTTTGCAGCCTATTTCGCAGCTTGTCCTGCGGCTGTTAAGGAGACAAGAAACGCTCAGCAGGATCTAACCCAATTTAGGGATGTGTATTGCCAACATCCTGTTTTCGGTCTACAGCCAAGTAGGGGGGTCTTCAGGAAGCATCCTAGCATAAAGGCAAAGTCATGTCTTCCCCCTCTTGGGGGGCACTTCTAGCTCTCTGGATGTTCTTGAACTATGACTCCCATCACACGTCCTTCCCGAAGTTCACAGCTGGCAAAACTTGAATACGCTGCCCGGTGGATTTCGGGAGCTTCCCTAACAAAGAAGGGACGAGGAGCCAAAGCTGTGCTTGGGTTGTATCAGTTTTGAACGTTAACCCCTGGAGAACAGAGAGGCATAAAAGCTGCAGACTCTTTCCCCATCTAGTCCAGTGTTCCCTGCTCTGACTGGCAGCAGGTTTCCAGTGATCTCTCCCATCACTTATTTCCTGAGATCTTTTTTAACAGTAGATGTTGAAAACTGAACCAAGACCTTCTGCTTGCTAGGCAGCTGATCCACCCCTGTGCCATGGTAGCTCATTGATGTAATATAACGAATCTGCTCCACACCCCAGAGCCATCCTGGCAGGTTAATCTGGCACAAGCTGAATTTGCTGTATGGCCTTCAAGGGCAGCTCCATGTAACTAAGAGTTACAGTAATCAAGGCAGGACGTAATTGGCTTGTTTTGGAGCCTGGGAGGCACTGTCATTAGATGTGTAATAAGCAGAGAGAAGTTTGATGGAGGCAAAGGTGGTTGTGTATTCTGTAGAGATTGGCACATTTGTCAGTTCATGCCGGTTCATCTGTGAAGAATCTCAGTCCTCCAGGTGAAGTTATCACCGCTCATCTAAGTATCTTCTTCAGTCTGAGGAGATTTGGTGGGAGCCCCCTGCTCTATCGTCCAGGTTGGTTTCACTTCCCCCTGGTTTGAATACGCTTGTTAGATGGACAAAGGACGTGGGGGTGGGTGGGTGAGGGATAATCCCACTTCTGCAGTCTTTCTCCACCTATCGTTATGGGTCATTATCGTGGGGATATATCAGGGGTCTCCTACCAACTCTCCTCCGACTGAAGAAGTAGCGAAACGTTTCAACCCAATAAGAAAGAAGTCCAGTTACCACGACTCCACTTCCAGATCCATGCTGGCTCGTTTACCAGCTGAACAGATATTGGGTCCTTCAAAGCTCTGCCTCCTCCAGCAGGCACACACTGGGAGGCAGCACATGGAGGAGGCAAGGCAGGGAAGCTGGGTTTGCTGTCTTCAAGTGGGCGTCTGCTGGAGGAGGCAGGGCTTTGAAATGCTAAATATCTGGCAGTTCATGGCCATCTCTACTCCTTTTGGCCTTGTAGGTCTTCTTAGTCCCAGTATCCCAAACGCTTCGCTGATGTTTTTCTCGCCTGCCATTATACTGTTGCATGTGTGGTGCAAAAAGAGTGGTTATTTCAGATGAGCAGGTTCACCTGCATCAGAGTTTGAAAAGTTCATTTTAAAATAAAGGAATTACTGTATTACCATTACCTATGGCAAGTATTTAATTTTAGAGAGAATGATTTAGCGCTGTTAATTTTTGTGATTCTTTTGGGGAAAAGAACAAGGGCTATTAGTCAAATGCTGCTTGTTACTTATTAGTTCTGTTTTTGGTTTTATCAGGGGGGGTGGGGCGGTGTTTGTGTGTATCTTAAGTCTACATATATATATAAACTCAATAGCAGACAGTATTTCACTTTAAAAACGACCATTACTGTTCTGCCAAAGTTTGGGCAGTCTGTTTGCTTGCTTTTATTGACAATTTTTATGGAAAAAACAATGAAAGATTATAACGCAGAGATCTATAACCCAGTTACCTGTACAATCAAATATATAACAATGAATGTATTGCTATGAATGATACAATTTATTCCTGTAGTCTATGAACCCAAGTATTCTCTCAGACTTAAAAGGCAGCACAGCTGAAATGCAGTCAAATTTCCAAAACCCCATCCCTCTTTAAACCCAAACCCAAAACCAACAAAGGATGCCAACTCTTAATGAAATTATCTTTTTTTTTTAAAAAAAAATTCTCCTCTGATGAGACTTTAGCAGGTGGTTCAATTTCCCCATCACTGCTTCTACTCCTATTCGTTCTGAATATCTCTGAAAACAGAATCCTTAAGCATTTTTCCTTTTATCCTGCCCAAGTAACACATCCCAGGCTCCTGAACCCTACCCGACCTTGGTTGTGACTTCCACATATCTCTCCCATGCTTTCCTTCTGCCCCCCCTCTGCCTTTCTTTGCCCTTGTCCAAAATGGTAAGCAAACTGGACAAGCAAAGGGTTGGTGCACCCAGGGAGTAAGAAATAAGGCACCTCAATAGTCCCAAGGGCTCCCATGCTAGTATACATTTCCAGATTCTCTGTTTTCCATAGAAAGCACCGGTTCTGTTTGGCTTTTGACATGGCGCCCGGGAGGACAGGGGGTGACTCCGGGGAAGCCAGCTGGAAGGGGGAGGCAGGTCACGCTTTGGCAGTGACAGCTCCTGGCTGTCTCCGAGTGGCTTGTGGCTCTCTTGCACAGCAGGCTGGCATGCCGCGATGCAGGTGCTGGTTGGCTGGGCGCTCTCTCGCTCTCTCTCTTTCTCTCTCTCTCTCTCTCTCTCACACACACACACACACACACACACAAATTTTTTTTTGAAAGCAAAGCTTTAACAGAGCAGGATACAAGCCAGGTTTGCAGATTACCCATCCGCCACTCTGTGCCTCATGGCTGGGGCAAATCTGCATCGTACATCAATGTGCTTCACAGGAACACATGTGAAACTGATGCTGCGGGTCAGAAACAGGCTGATCGACCCCATCCCTATAGGAGGCAATCTTCTCCCTCCATTCCTCGATCCCAAAAATCTGGGTTAGAAGGAGGACACCTAAGAGAAGCTTCTCGTGCAGAGACACAACGGGCAGCCTCCCATCCTTGCTTGCAAAATGAACTTGTGGGTCAAGCTTCCAATCTGGGGCACCCTCCCCACAGGAGTGGAGGCCCTTTACAGCTCTGCCTTCCTCCCCTCACTAGTACCCCGGCTGGGAGCGCAGCACAGCCCTTGCGTTGGGCCACGATTTCACAAAGTCACAGCCCAAGGTGGTAGCGTCGTCGGCGTCAGGAGCCTGCGAGCCAGCAGAACCAGCCAGCCAGCGAAGAAAATTGCACGGAAATGAAGGAGTCATGCAAACAAACAAGGCCCTCCCGTCCAGAGGCCGCCCCTACTCTCTCAGCAGCATCCCTGCCAACGTTAATGGGTCCCTTATTTATGCCTGACCTGAAGTGATCCCATTTTATTTCCACTCTTTAAAGGCCTGGACCTGTCGCCAGTGTTTTTAGTATGCTGATAAACAAGAACCAAGCAGGATTTATCCTCCCGTCCATTAACCTGTGATCTTGTGGCTCACAAATAAACGCTGAAGCTGCAGGCTCCCTAACGACCCGCTTGCCCCCTTTCCCCGGCTAAGGGGGTGCTGCAGAAGCAATGGCAAAATGAAGGGAGGGGGGTGGAGAGGGAGACACCGCCAGCCTAGACAAAGCAGCTCTTTGTTCTGCTCAGGGAAAATCAATTGCTGGAAGGAGCAGGGTTGAAAGGGTCTGGGTTTCTAAGAAACTAGTCCTCATGGCTTGAGAGAAATTTGCTGGTAGTTAGACCTTGAATTAGGAGGCCAAGGCAGCTGCTTGAGAAGAAGCAGGTCTTCAATGCTGTGTTCACAGCAGAACTGGCAGTGCTGCTGAAATGCAGAAGCCTGTGCTGCAGGGTCAGAAGACCAAGCAGTCGTAAGATCGAATCCACACAACGGAGTGAGCGCCCGTTGCTTGTCCCAGCTCCCGCCAACCTAGCGGTTCGAAAGCATGCAAATGCGAGTAGATAAATAGGTACTACCTTGGTGGGAAGGTAACAGCGTTCCGTGTCTAAGTCGCACTGGCCATGTGACCACGGAAGATTGTCTTCGGACAAAACGCTGGCTCTATGGCTTGGAAATGGGGATGAGCACCACCCCCTAGAGTCGAACACGACTGGACAAAAATTGTCAAGGGGAACCTTTACCTTTACCTTTAGACCTTGAATTAGGAGGCCGAGGCAGCTGCTTGAGAAGAAACAGGTCTTCAATGCTGTGATCACAGCAGAACTGGCAGTGCTGCTGAAATTCAAAAGTATATATGGCTTTGTGTGTCTGTGTTTGTGTGTGAGGGTTTTTGTCCAGAATGTGCCAGGCACCATGAAAATGATTTGGGGGGCAGCTGTGGCATGTACACAGCAAGAGGTGGTGTGTTGCCCACTCTGATGCAGATGGTACTGAGTTAAATAGATTAACAGCCTGAGAAGCTCTAAATACCACCTTTGGTGGTGCCCAGGTATAATTTCAAAGGGCAGAATGGCATATGATACAATGATACTTATTATGAATAGTATTACATTTCTCTTCATTTATATATTTACACATAATGATAATGGTATAAATACAAAATTTTAAAATCAGGTATGGCTGAACAAAGCATAATATGCACAGCACAACAATATATGACATACTTGACACAGTACACTAAAAAAAAAACACAATACACAAACTGGTGAAATTGAGAATTCTGGATGTCCTTCTGGATGTCCAGCATTTTGAAGCTCTGCCCGTACACACCTGCACTTCTAAAAGTATCACCAGAAAATTTATCTTCTAAAATTGCACCTGGGTGCTTCCCCTTGTGAACAAAGACACACAGAAATGTGTGCAAATGAGAAAGAGGAAATTGAACTAGGCTGGATGTAGGGGGGGGGGGGAATCACCATCTGTATTAAGACAGTGTTTGTCAAGCCAATGGAAAATTCCAAAACAGCA